CACGTGACGTGACGTCGCCGCCAATCTTCTTCTCCGGCCCTCGCTTGGCTTTGCCCCGCCCTTCCTCCCTTTCCTCCCCCCCAGCTCTCCCTCCCTCCCTTCACGTAACAAGGAGGACGGGCGGTGATGACATCGACTGGGAGTGGCCACGTGACTTTGGTCCTTTCGCCTCTACCCGACGTATGTCTCCACCCCCCCGGCGCCTTCCTGGGGCCGCGTTACGTCATCGCCACGCCCTCCTCCACCTCCCTGGGTGGGAAAGAAGGACTTTCGGGAAATCTCACCTGACCTGTCTCGTCGCCTCAGAGTCGAAGTGGTGGAGTTGATACCTGCTTGGCTTCAGTAACCCATTAAACAAACAAACAAACAAATTTTATTTCAAATAATAAACACAATGTCCAGCCTGGCCCATGAGGGAACTCAAAAATAAAAGCGGGAGTCATCGAATAACGTGTATTTTCATCGACCAAAATGCCTCCAAACATGTGAAAATAAGTACTGTATTCTGCAAATGTGTTTCTTCAATTGATGACGTCGGGCGAAGCGCTTGGAGAAACTGCTCACTGTGGCACATTATTTCAAATAAAAAACACAATGTCCAGCCTGGCCCATGAGGGAACTCAAAAATAAAAGCGGGAGTCATCGAATAACGTGTATTTTCATCGACCAAAATGCCTCCAAACATGTGAAAATAAGTACTGTATTCTGCAAATGTGTTTCTTCAATTGATGACGTCGGGCGAAGCGCTTGGAGAAACTGCTCACTGTGGCACATTCTGTATATTTGCACAAATTACAGACCTGTGAGAAATCAAGACCAAAAAAAGTTTTGGGACAATATGGCATTGCTTTTATATACTTGTATATATATCCTGTCACTGCCACACTGCATACTGAGTTCCAAAAATAACACTTGTAAAGACTGGGTTTTGCACCACACAGAGCCAGGCTTTAAGTGGCTAGACAGAAAAACGTCTCTCTTCTTGACCTCAAGCTTCACAAAGTTATTTCAAAGAAGAATTGTTATGTTGAATTGTTCCTCTTACATATATCTTTCACAAAGCCAATGAAAAGGAAGTGGTAAAACCTTGGAGATGAAATGAATAATGTTTTTTAATGAAACAGTCAATATGGCCAATGCAGTTCAATATGAGCTTCTTCAGCAGAATGAGAACAGAGATTTCCTATTAAGATTAACAATTGTTAACAGATTGGCCACCTATTCTAATTCTTCAAATTCTATCCTAACAGCATGCTCTTGTCATTGTTGTTTTTTTACTTGTATACCGCCCCATATTGCTAGAACACCCTCTGGATGGAATACAACATAATTATACAATTAACACTTTGGACCCCCTCAGAGCTGGATACACTTTTTACAGACTTGAGAAGGATGGAAGGCTGAAACAACCTTGAGCTGGCTACCTGAACCGTTCAAGATCGAACTCAGGTTGTGAACAGAGGCGTGACCGTAGTACTGCAGTTTAATCACAACTCCACAGGGCTCTGAAGGTCGAGATTACACAAAGCCCCTACAAAGTTGGGGTGGGGTGCCTTGCCTCTGGAGAGAGAATAGGCATTATTGCTTTTGTTAGTACAATACAAAAAAGGGGGGGGAATAGAGATGGGTATGAACCTCAGTTTGGAGGTTCGTGCCAGTTCGTCAGACTAGCACCACAGGGCGCCACACTTTCCCTTCCACCGCTGGGATTCCCCACTCACCAGCTGGTGCACACTGCTCTTCTCCTCCTCTTTGGGCATTCAACCCAACCCAGCAGGAGTGCAGGCTTCCCTCCTCTGCCTCCTCCAGCAACCACCCACTTAGATAAAGAGGCAGGGCAGGGATTCCTGCACCACTGCCTTTGAGGATAATTTTTGACTACTGCATAAAGTAAAAGATGAGTGCGTGGATGGCAATAGATGAATAAATAAATCACCCTTTGACACTATGTATTCTGTCACACTGGTTCCCAGGCACTGTGTGGGACTTGACTAAATTTCTAAACCAGCATTTCAAATATCATAAACTGAGACTTATAGCTCTAGGACACTGTGCCTGTCTAAACCTCCACATTATTATTAAAAACAGAAACACCCACCACATGGCAAAGATTATATGCATGTGGTAACCCTAGATATCCAAGTGGAGGCTTGTTGGGTGTGAATCATCCCAGTGGAAATTAATGGATCATGTGTTGTAATAGAGCAACAAAATGTGCTGCTTAGATACCGCCTTGTAGCACTTAAAGTACTCTCAGGGCGGTTTACAATTTAATTGTACAGGCAAAAAATTGTGCCTATCCCTAGCAAGCTGGGTACTCAGTTTACCAACTTTTAGAAGGATGGAAGGTTAAGTCAATCTTGAGCTAGCTACCTGGGGTAGAATCCCCAGTTGTGAGCAGAGTTTTGGCTGCACTGCAGTTTAACCACTGCACCCTGATGGAGAGATAAAAGGATGGAAGGCTAAGTCAGTCTTGAGCTAGCTACCTGGGGTAGAACTACAGTTGTGAGCAGAGTTTTGGCTGCACTCCAGTTTAACCACTGCACCCTGATGGAGAGAGGTTCAAGGGGAAGTATTTGTGGAATGTGAAAGAGGAGGAAACTTCACTGCTTATGGTTAAAAGTTCCACAGAGTTTGAAATGATGGCAGGGCACCTGACAGAGATCTTGGCTACCCTTAGATACATGGCCAAGACCCCAGGGTATGCAAAGGTTCTACAGTAGCACATGGGTTGAGTATCTTCCCTTTGCTTGTTCCCTTCTGCAAACTCAAAAACCTGTCATTATTATCTATTATACTCAGCTGCTCTCACCATGAGCACACCCATTTCCAGATGCCTTGGCTGGCTTTCAGTCATCTTCTGCATCTTATTATGCTCTTTCTTTTCCCCCTGCTAGGCCCCATAAATTCTGCAGTAAGCTTGTTCTTGCAATTATGTCCATGAGCAGTGTCACGCTAAAGCAGGAGCGGGCAGACTGCAGACTTTGGCCTAATTTCAAAAGCTTTCTGCAAGTGAAATACATCGAGCTGGCTGGCAAGAGGGATCTGCATACTGTATCTTTGGGCCACTTCCAGGCTGAAGAAGGAAAGGAGGTAGGGAAGATAAAGGAACATGACATTGAGCATGCCTATCTCATCTGACTGTGGCTGCTAAGTTGGGCCATATCTGGTTAGTACTTGAATGGGAGACTATCAGTAAATACCAGAGACTAGCAAAGAAGAAGAAGGAAGGTGTTCTTGAAGGCTTTCATGGCCAGGATCTGATGGTTGTTGTGGGTTTTTTGGGCTGTTTGGCCGTGTTCTAGAGGTTTTCTCCAAACAGCCCAAAAACCCACAACAAACAATAAGAAGGAACCTCCCAGAGTAGACCTTTGGTCTTGGTGGGCAGGATAGAAATCCGATAAATAAATATATAAACGATGCCTGAAAATGCGGCGGACTGTTTGCAGTCAACTGTGATGAGATTAGGCTCGATGGGCTGAAGGTGCAGTTTGGTATAAAGTAAAGCTTCCTACATTGTTATGTAAAGAGAAAAGAGTTCATATTTTGGTCTGTTCTTACCTATCAATGGAATGATATGAGTGGCTTAAAATGAGGAGAAGTTTCTGGGAGATCTTCTTTCTCACAGAACAAAACATTTTGTCTGGTTTTTGGGTACTAAGGCGTGTTAGTCTGCCCAGGGCATGGGGTGTGCATGGAATTTATTGCCCAATCTCAGGCAGCAAACTACATTGTGCCAGCCCTGAATTTCACCACTGACAATATGACACACTGGCCATGCTACAAAACTCTTCTTTCAGCAGATAATATTATGCCCTGAAGCACTTGGAACACTTGAAATAGATTGTATAAATGTTAAGTATTATTGATGGTTGATAGTAGCCTGGAAAATAGCGACCTCATTTTTTGAAGATACAAAATCATGTCAGAATGTTAATGTGCTGCTACCAATGATTTGTTGGCCATTTTGAAGCCTGGAATGGGAACATAGCTTCTATTAAATGTTTAATACATAGACTGAGAATTTTTTTATTTATATTGATCCAACTTTAATTGGCAAGTTAAGTTGGTTGATTGTTACCTGTTGCCAGTGCGTTATTAAGCTGTCGTTTGGTCCTCCTCCCTTTAAGGTTAAATAGAAAGGCATGATGAGAAGACAACATGGAAGATGGAAATGATGCATTTATTTCTTCAACAAAGTTGCAGGCAGCATATATGGCTCTCCTCCTAAAACAGTAGTAGATTCACAGCAGCAAGCCACTGCACAGAAATGGAAACAGATGTAAATTAATGTCAAGGGTGGAACGGAGTCTGAAAGTAAGTGGGGAGGGGAGAGGATTGGAAAAAAATTAACACAGAAAAATTGAGAGCCAAACCCTCCCCCTCCAATTTCTCTCACACCTCCTGGATGCCAGGTGAATCAATGGGAGAGTTTTATTCTTTCTGTGCAAAGTTTGAACAACATTTACAGAGAGTTTATCATTCAAGTAAATTTATGACATTGGGTATTATTGCTAAAGTGCTGCATTTATTTTTTTTTAAATGCCA